ACTAAGGCATGAAAAGAAATTTACATAGCTAACTGGAAATTTCCACATTTAGCCCATGTACACACTCGTCACCTTGCGTACACGGCTTTCACATATCATAATTATCACAATCAACACAATTTCTACAGGTAATTCTCCCACACAAGGTTAGGCAAGCCACTTACCTCAAATCACACAAAATCAATCCATTAGGAGGCCTTTCCCTCGATTATCCAATTCTGAATGGCTCGAATCTAGCCAAAACAATTTCATACTATAAATATAAACTATAGGAAACTAATTCGAACAATGAAATCACGATCTTTATGAAAAATTAAAAAGTCAACTCAAAAAGTCAATCTGGGCTCGCGTCTTGGAACCCGACCCAAATTACAAAATTCGAATACCCATTCGATAATGAGTCCAACCTTATAAGAATTACTCAAATCGCCTTTCATAATCCCAAATTTAAGCCTAAGAAGTTTTCACACTTTTTTTCCCTATTTTCCAACTTAAACCACTAATTACATGATAAAAACAACGATAGATTCGAGTAATTTAACCAAAATCGAGTTAGGAATTCTTACCCAATAATCTCTCTAAAAATCTCCCGAAAATTTTCCTCACACCGATCTCTCAAGTCCAAAATGTGAAATATGAGTGATCACGCCCAACTACGCCTTATAAAAAGGACAATGCGGACGTTGCAAATATAACCTGAGTATTGTGCCCAGAGTCGAATCCACAGAGAACTAACCTATCAATCACTATCTTTAGACCTACTAAACTCTTTAGAATCAATTTCCCAAACGTTGAGAATCACAGTTGATGGTGTTTTTAATAACTAAGATCAACAGTAACTAATAGCTACAAATTAAAGATGCTAAGCTGTAAACAATAATGAGAAAGTGCTAAGGTAATGATTTCCCCTATTGATGGAATTCCTTCTGTTTATGCTTCATACAAATTTACCAACACATCTCTATTAATCATGAACGCTCTTCTTACCGTAAATCTCTCCCGAGTAATCACAGTAATTTACTAGTTGCACTCTCCCGAGATACACTAGCTTGCTTTATTTAACACAATTCACTTTAGATTACACCCAAGGCTTCGTTATCCCTAATCCCGCCTTTAAACCCTCGGTTATTGATCCCTCATATACTTTGAGAGTGGTGTTGTTCAACAATTACCTAAATATGCACTGTCTCCCGAGTTATGCACACTAAATAGGCACAGCTAATTGAGGATCCTGTCAATTAACTACAACAAACACATAGTTGAACAAATAGAGATTGGAACTAGCAATTTGTATTCACATAAACAAGAAGTTCATCCCCCAATAGGTTCCATCAAAACCTTAGACAAAGGATTTAGCTACTCATAACTATGGGTAAACAAACTAAAACAATATTCATCATAAAACTTGCAAGAAAAATCAAAGAAAAGAAGAAAGATGTTTTGGGTGATCTCTCGCAATTGTTTTCCTTGCTAAAAAAATATTCTCCAATACAAATCCTACCTCCTTTGGGCGAAGTCTAGTATTTAAAATTGGGTTTTGGGCTAAAAATCCCGTGTTTTGCACTTAAGTCCCTGAACTCTTCCGCCTCTGCCGCGGTCGCGGTCAAACCGCGGCCACACACCTTCTCTGAATCTCAACTTATCCGCGACCATCTTCTACCGCGGTTCGGTGGAACCGCGGCAGTCCTTCTTCAGGCTTGGCTTGAGCTGCTTCGCTTGGTTCATTTGGCAAAATTTTACGATTGGCCTCTTTTTCTCCATATTTGATCCCAAAAGTACTCCATAGCCTTCTCTTGTCATATATCACCTGCAAAGCATGAAAAGCACTAATCAGAGCATTTTGTTATCACTTTTATCATCAAAACTATACAAGAAGGTGGTTCTTTAGGGCCTAATTATAGTTAAATTCACCTATTATCAATGAGATGAACCCTCATTTTGAAATTTAAGTTCTGCTGCCTAGTGATTCCTTCTTCGCGAACACGGAAAATGCCTCGCGTTCGCGAAGCCCAAAAATGTTTTTGCCCAAAAAAAAAATTCCGCAATCGCGGAATACCACATGCGAACGCGAAGAAGTGACTGATCAAGCTACTCGACCGTGTAACACACCACGCGACCGCGATGAAGAAAAATGCATGAACCTGCAGCCCCCTAATTCTTCTACATGAATGCGGCCCCCTTCACGCTTTCGTTATTCACTGAGAACCAACCTTCCGCGATCGCAGACCCCTTCCCGCGATCGCATAGAGAAAATATCCCCTAGTGCCAAAATACTCTTCGCGATCATGTTAATCCACTTGTTGTTGCGTATAAGGAAGTCAGCAGCACCAGATTCAGCAACCTTCAAGGTTCCGAAATGCGCCGAACATGATCTGAATTACACCTGAGGCCCCTGGGACCTCAACCAAACAAACCAAAAAGTTCTAAAACATCATAGGAACACGCTCTAAGTGTCAAATCACATCAAACAATGCTAGAATCACGAATCAGACATCGTTTCAAGCCTATAGAACTTATGAACTTTCGAATTCCAAAACTAATGCCGATTCATATCAAAACACCTCCGATTTCCCTCAAATTTTGCGCACAAGCCATAAATTATATTACAGACCTATTTCAACTTCCGGAATCGGAATCCAACCTCGATATCAATAAAGTCAACTCCCGGTCAAACTTCCCAAATCTTCCAAACCTTCAACGTTCCAACTTTCGCCAATTCACGCTGAAACGACCTACGGACCTCCAAATCCACATCAGGACGCGCTCCTAAGTAACAAATTACCATACGGAGCTATTGGAAGTGTCAAAACTCCATTCCAGGATCGTCTACACAAAAATCAAACTACGGTCAACTCTTTCAACTTAAACCTCCTATTTAGGGACTATGTGTCCCCTTTCTCTACGAAACTCTCCCCAACCCGAAGCCAAGCACCCCGGCAAGTCACATAACCAAAATATAACATAAAGAAAGTAAAATTTAGGGAATTAGAATTAAAATACTCAAAACGATCGGCCGGGTCGTTACTTAGGCCCGATAGAGAAATGAGATAAAAGTGGGCGCTTGGAGAAGTTTTGTTTGAGAGGCAAAGGGACTAGACTTATTAAAAAAGCAAAAAGAAAATGTGTGACTAAAGGAGGTAACCTTAGAACAAGTTGTAAAAAAATGTGCCTATTCCTTCGACACCTTTCCATAGAAATAGGGGGAAAATGGCTTATTCCATATCAACGTAAGCCCGCTTATTCCGACGAAGTTATCCAGTGGTGAAAAGAAGGCCTTCCTCCTTCTTGCTCGAAACTCTGTCAAAGAAGCATTCTATTCCGAAAAGGCGACCCAAGCAAGGACATTTTGGAAGTTGGTCGATCAAGACGTGCACTTTCCCTCTGTAGAAGGATTTTCTAGTGTCGCAAAAAATGAAATTCATTATATGGACCATATTTGTATTTGTTAAGGCAAATATCATGGATGTTAGGGCTCGACATATATTTATATAATCGATTGCCCCAATCGATAAAATTCTATTAGGTTATCGATATCGGGTTATTGAGTAAATAGTTCGATAACTGTTTAATGTTATTTGACTATTGGGTTATCGGTTCGGGTCTCGATTTTCCCAATTTATTAATGGTTTAATCGATAACCCAATAAGCTATAACAAAATTATAATTTTACCTACTAAGCATATAAAGCCACCTCGTGGCTTCATTCTCTCAATTCTCTCGGCAGTTACTCTTCATCTTCAGACCTTAATCCTTAATGTAAGTTGTAAACATTATTAAATTTCTCATCTTAATTCTTTAGTTAAGATTTTTAGTTTTAAATTTTAAAGAATTAATTGTTCAAATTTTTAATTTTTTTTTAGCAAATATACCACTAGGCAGGCTGCCTAGTGGCTAATATATAAATAAAATCCCAAAACGAGTCCAAAGCATACAAGATGTCCAAACCGAAATAGAAGTTGCACGAAGCTACTAGCTACTAAAAAGATATAAAAGCTAAAGTCTAATGAACTAGCTATTACAACATTGTTCGCTGAATGCTTCATTCTCCTGTCAGTGTATGTGAATACAATTGCCAGTGGCAAATACCAAGCAGCACCTATCAAGCTCTCACCAGGCGCCAGTGTATCCAGTCCATAGGCTAAAATGAATTCCAAACATCTCCACCACAGAATTGAAGCCAGCATAGTCTTCCAATCATTAGTGTTGCTACAATATGATCTCCATATGTAGTGTACTGATTGTATCCAAGTATAAATCATGTGGTCGATCCTCAATATTATCATGTAAAAAGCATGGCTACACCTGTCTTGAGGCTGGCTTTAGGTAGGCTTTTCAAGGCAAAAGCCAGGCTGGGGCTGGCTTTAAGCAGGCTTTTCAAGGCAAAAGCCAGGCTGGGGCTGGCTTTAAGCAGGCTTTGCAAGGCAAAAGTCAGGCTGGGGTTGGCTTTAAGCAGGCTTTGCAAGGCAAAAGCCAGGCCAGGGCTGGCTTTAAGCTGGCGACGCCAGGGTAACGCCAGGGTATCATCAGGCTTTAGCCTGGCGCTGCCAGGCCTGTGGAGCTGGGTGATTTTATGTTCTTGTAAGCTCAGATCCTTCTCTTCCCGAACCTTTAATGTAGAAATCATTCTAAACATTGCTAAACCATCCTCAGATTGAGCATGAAGACATGCTAATACCATTGAGAAATGATTCAACAATCTCCAGAAGTTCCACATAACAGATTCAACCTTTTCCTTAACATTTGAACATATTAGAAGTAGAATACATTGCACCATCCAATACCTGCTTATCCCATTGGTCCTGTACACTATCAAAGCACCCCTAGAATGAGCATGCGACCATGCTAATACCACTGGAAAGTACCTTAATAGCATACAGAACGAGACATAAAAGAAACAAGCAGGTATGTGCAGATTCCAATCCTGTGAAGCCATCAGTCTGGGGCTCTTCTTTTTGCTATTCTAACCCTAAGGTTAGGAGTTTGAGACTTGTCTAAATTAATCAACCTCCTCCTGCACTAGGCAGTTCAGAGAATGAGTGAAACTCAGATGTACCTGCAAAAGAAAAAACAATGTTAGCTATAAAATCCGCCACCGAGTTGCCTTCTCTGAACACATCTTGAAAGATCACATTGAAGTTGCCCTTCATCTCTCTAATTTTCTTCACATCATTTGCAATTACCCATGGAGGATCCCATTCCCCTTCTATCACTTTCTTCATCACTAATGAATCAGTCTCCAATATGAGAGGGTGAAGATCATGCTCTACACAGTATTTCAATCCTTGAAGAATAGCCTTAGCTTCAGCCACCACATTAGTTATCACTCCCAGGTCTATTGCCCTTGCATACGCCACATCACCTTCGTCATTCCTCACACAAAAGCCTAATGAGCTAGGGCCAGGATTTCCTTTTGAGGCTCCATCAGTATTGCATTTGTACCAACCACGAAAATGATTTTATTATTTTTCTATGAAAAGGCTCTATTTGTTTCTTTTGCACTAATTCTTTAGTATGTACAAGATTAGGATTTTATTATTTTTCTCTGAACTACGCCAGCCCGCAATGAGATTTTTAGTAAGATTAGATTGGTGAATGTCTTATTTCTTATTCCTACTAACTTATAACTTTGAAAATTGAGATAAGTCATTGAGATTTTCAAATCCAAAGAAAATTTTCTTTTCTAAAAATGAAATTTAATCCCCTTTTTTTAAGAGCAAAAATTCAGTTCCTTTCTCTTAATAGTATGATCACGATTTCTATTGAAAACAATGAATATTTTGGATATTTTTTTATCCTTTTCGGGTAAACCGATAACCGAACCGATAAGAATCGATAACCGACTAATCGATTACCGATAATTGATATTTTATCGATTGGGTTATCGGTTTAGTATATTTATGAACCAATAACGATATGCCGAATCAATAATATTCACAACGAACCGAACCGACCGATGACCACCCCTAATGGACGCGCTGTATCATTAATTTTACTTTCAACGCAAATCTTTGCGGGTGCTTTCGAGATTGCCTTTCCAGGGTGCTGAGGTCTGAGGTCTGCAATCACTTTTCCCAACAAACAACTTTCCTGATTTCTACTTAAAAGCTGATTATATTCTTTGTCTCCTGATTAAATTAGTCTTTATTATTATTAATTCAGTACCTGAATATTGTGTTCTTGATCCCATTTAGAGACTGATAACCGTATCAGTCTTAATTCAGTACCTGAATACTTAGGTCTTAGCACACTGAACAGATCCAACTAATTAAGCAGTAAAAACTATTTAGGCAAATATTTCCCAAATTGGATTTGAAGTTAAATTGATTACCTTTTATTACAATGGGAAATAAAAATTTGCACCTAAGCAACCTCCACTTCCAACCAAGAGGTTGTGAGTTCGAGTCTCCCCAAGGGCATGGTGGGAAGTTCTTGGAGGGAAGGATACCGAGGGTCTATTTGGAAACAGCCTCTCTATCCCAGGGTATGAGTAAAGTCTGCGTACACACTACCCTCTCCAAACCCTACTAAGTAGGATTATCTAGGTTGTTGTTGTTGTTGTTGTGACAATTTCAGTGGTCTAACAGGATTAGGGCGGGCGTCTGGTCGGTGATGTACAGTTTTCAAGAAGTTCTTTATCTATTGGCAGTGTAAACTAATCTTTATAATATCAAATCATTTAAAAGAAAACTATAATAATTATTCATAATAAATAAAACTAATAAATTAGGGAATAAGAGGAATCACCTTCTACAACATGCTAAGTACATTAATAATATAAAACATTTGTGATTTGATTATATATAAGTAAAATTATACTAGCTAGTATTGGCTTTTCACTTCCAATCCAATTTTCTTATTACTCGTGTATGATACTCCCTCCGGTCCAAAATAAGTGATTTTTTGGATGTTTTCACACAAATTAAGAAATCCACCTTTTAGCATTAATTAGTAATGGAATTGACCATATTAACCTTTACTATCTCATATAAACACTCCTAACACATATTCCAACACAATTTACTCCAAGGACAATGTAGGAAAAAAATAATTAATCCCTTCTTGAAATCTGGAAAAATCACTTATTTTGGACCACAAGAAAAAGGCCAAAAAATTATTTATTTTGGACCGGAGGGAGTACATGTTTATGGTCTCCCGCCCAAGAGAAAAAAGAAGCGACAAAAGTGCGTTAGGAAAAGCAAAAGGTAGTCCCTTTCCTCCCTAAGTTAGCAGAGAGTTAGGTGCTTTAAATAACAAGTATACGTACGATGTCGTCATAAAACGGGACGGCAAAATTGCAAATCAACTCATTAGCTATACACATTGTGCCACGAGTGTCATAAATAATGCTTAATGTTTCCTTTAATCTAACTCTTAATAAATTTTGCTTTCCACTAATTAGGAATGTACATGAGTTGGGTAGGTTTAGTTTTTATAAAAACCAAACAAAATCAACTATATCAATTTAGTTAGTTCGATTTTATCGATTTTGTCGGGTTTTTATCTTTTTGATTTCTTTTGTCACATGAATATTATTTTAACTTACTTTATTAGTGTTACGAAGAGGGAGGATTACTTGGTTACTTTTTAAACTGCGGTGGCGAAGATTCAAATTGACTAACTTCTCCTCAGGAGATGTGATAGAGGACTGTGCAAGGATTGCAAGGTTATCTCGGGTGAGATCCTTGCGACGCAGCATAGGCTCTTGGTGATGGATGTTAGTATTATATTAAAGAGGAAGGAGAGGTCTGTACGAGGACAATCGAGGATGAGGTGGGGAGCCTTGACTAAGGATAAAGCCCAGGAATTGGAGGGGAGGTTATCAGCTATAGGAACTTGGAGTAGTAGCGGGGACGCGAGCGTTATATGGGCGACGACGGTAGACTGTATAAGGGAGGCTGCGAGAGAGGTGTTAGGGGCCTTCTTCTCTTCCACTTTATCTTGGACCACTTCATTCCACCACCAGTTGCATTTGTGCCCCCCAGAGTAGCCCTAAGTTAGTAGGGCGCATAGGTGAAGAGGAGAGGAGAGCGAGCAAGGAGAGGTATAAGGTAGCTAGGAAGGAGGCTAAGCTGGCTGTCACGGAGGCTAAGACTGCGGCTTTTGGTCATCTTATGAGGACCTAGGGGACAAAGGCGGGGAGAAGAAGTTATTCCAGCTAGCCAAGGCGAGAGAGAGGAAGGCTCGGAATTTGGACCAAGTGAGGTGCATCAAAGACGAGGACAATAGAGTATTTATAGGTGAGGCCCAGATTAAGAGGAGATGGCAGAGTTACTTCCATAAACTTCTGAATGAAGAAGGGGACCGGTGCTAGGTGATTTGGAGCATTCCGAGAGTCACTATGACTTTGGGTACTGTAAGCGCATAGAGGTTGAGGAGGTCGTGGGAGCTATGCGTCAGATGAGTAAGGGCAGAGCGACCGGGCTAGATGAAATTCCCGTAAAATTTTAGAGGTGTGTGGGAAGAGCAGGCATGGAGTGGCTGACTAAGCTGTTTAATATTATTTTTAGGACGAAGAGGATGCCGGATGAGTGGAGGTCGAGTGCGGTGGTTCTGTTGTATAAGACAAAGGTGATATCTAGAGTTGTATCAAGTACAGGGGTATCAAACAACTGAGCCATACCATGAAAGTTTGGGAAATGGTGGTAGTAGTGAGGGTAAGGAGGACGACACCTATATTGGGGAACCAGTTTGGTTTCATTCCGGATCGTTCTACTATGGAAGCTATCCACCTTATTAGGAGGTTGGTGGAGCACTACAGGGATAGGAAGATGGATCTGCACATGATATTTATTGACCTGGAGAAAACGTATGACAAGGTTCCTAGAGAGGTTATTTGGAGATGCTTGGAGGCAAAAGGTGTGCCGGTTGCCTACATTAGGGCAATTAATGTGATGACCCGATAGGTCATCTAGAGCTTTAACCAATAATTCTATGTTTCCAAACCTCAAATAGCTCCTTTTAGCCTTCCTCGATTTACGTGCATATTCCGTGTCTTTTCCGGAAGGATTTTAAGTGAAAAATTGATTAAATGTTTAATCGTGCCTTAAAACTCATTTAAGTTGACTTCGGTCAGTATTTTGATCAAACGAGCCCAGATCCATATTTTGACGGTCCTAGTGGGTCCGTATCGTAATTTAGGACTTGAGTTTATGTCCGAAATTGAATTCGGAGGTCCCTAGCTCGATTTATCGCAATTTGTTGAAAATTAGAAGTTTGAAGGCTTAAAGAAATTTCAAGTTTGACCGAAGTGGGTCCGGATTTTGGTTCCGGAATTTGGTATACGTTCAGTACTGTAGTTATGACTTGTCCACAAAATTTAGTGCAAAATGGAGTTTATTTGACGTGATTTGGATGTCCGATTGTTAAAATGAAAGTTGTTTTTATTGAAAATTTCATTCATTTTTGTGTCCGATTCGTAGTTCTAGGTGTTATTTGATGTTTTGATCGTGCGAGCGAGTTCGTGTAATATTTTTGGACTTGTATGCATATTTGGTTGGGAGCCCCGAGGGCTCGGGTGAGTTTCGGATAGGCTACGGATATTTTTGAACTTAGAATTTCTGGTTTGTTTGGCTATTTCTTTCACCTGATGATTTCTTTTTCGCGATCACGAAGCTACTCCAGCGATCGCGAAGAGAAAACTGGGCTGGGGAGGGGATTTACCCTATGGGAACGCAAGGTTTTGGACGCGAAGGCGGAGCAGTGAGGGGACTGCCCTTCGCGAACGTGACCACACCAACGCGAACGCATAGCATTAGAGAGGCAGGGGCTGGGAGATGAGTTTACTTTATGCGAACGCGAGCCCAGGCTCGCGAACGCGGAGGCGAGGCGGGCTAAACCTACACGAATGCATAGAGTACCTCGCGATCGCATAAGCCATATAGGCAGTGCCCTTCGCGAATGCGTTAGGTTTCTTGCGATTGCGATGAACATCTAACGTGCAGTCATTTAAATTTCTAAAAGATGGGATTTCACCCATTTTTTACCATCTTTCCATTTGAGCTCGGCCGAGAGGCGATTTTGAAGAGAAATTAGTTCACAACCAATTCATAGGTTAGTATACTTTAACTCATTTTGTTGCATTTCTGACATCACCCATTAATTTATGGACTTAATCTTTGTTCTTCCATGGTAGAAAACTAGGAATTTGGGAAGAACTGGGGTTTTTAGTAAATTCGAGATTTAGACCTCAATTTGGGTTTAGTTCTCGAAACCAATTACATAATCGGGTTCGGTGATAAATGAGTAAACGGATTTTGGTCTGAATCTCAGGTTTTGACCAAGCGAGCTCGAGATTGACTTTATGGAAAAAGTTTAAGATTCCTAACTTTATGTATTGAAATTGATTTCCTTAGTATTATTTGATGTTATCGAGTCGATTTTGGTTAGATACGATTGGTTTGGAGGTGG